GCCCCGCCGCGATCGCGGCCGCCCCGGCGCCTGGGGGGCCGCCGTCGCTCGCGGGGGCGGCGGCGCTCGGGCTGGCGCCCGCGGCGCCGGAAGCTTCCGGCAGGGGCGTTGGGCGCGTCTCTTGGTCTTCCAACTCAGTGTCGTCGTCATCGATGTAGTCATATGAGTCAGGGTCGAAGGACCCCCATGCACCGCCGCTGCTCCGCGCCTGGCCACCCGCAGCCTCTGCGGCCGCCCGCGCCGAGGGGCGCCGCGGCACGCCGCCGCAGCCAGCGCCCGCGCCAAAGCCTGGGACCGCCGCCGCGCATGCGGCGCGGCCGCGCCTCTGCTTCAGCGGCTGCCGGGGGCCGGGGCTGCCGGCCGCATCGGGCGCTGCCGACGCGTTGGGAGGCGGCAGCTTGCGCCGGTGCGGCAGCGCGGGAGGGGGTGCAGGAACTCTGCCCCCGCTGCTGCAGCGGGTGACTGCATGTGGCGCGATGGGGCACCCGCACCCCACCGCCATTCGCGGAGAAGCAGACAAGCCCGCCAAGACACAAGAAGAACCTGCGTCGTTGCACAGCGCGGGATGCTGCGTCAGATAGCGCCACGCGCAGCTGGACAGCCAAGACGCGCTGGGGCGTTTCTGCGCGCGCTGGCAGAGACGCCTCCCGCCATGACTTGGCGCCCAGGGCCCCGAGTGCGCCCCAAAAGTCTCCTTCACGTATGTAACTGCGCTTACCTCTGGCGCAGCTGCCAGCACGCTGGCGCACGGGGGCGAGATTGTTAGAGGGCTGCTCAGGTGAGAAGCAACAACTTGCTCGGCATCAGAGCGACACGAGACATCCAAGAATTTTGATTGAAATTGAAAACGTCCGGTTGACGCGGCACCCCTTTAGTTCCCTTTCTTGTGCCTCGGAGCGGGTGTCAGGATCGCCACCCCGACATTTCACAACGTGGGAGCAAGCGCCCAGAAGCGAGAGAATTTCTCGCTTCAAGCCTGTTGGTGGCTGCCGAGGTTCCCGGGGCATGAGCCTGCTCGGCCACATCCGCCACAGCAGCCGCCACACCCGCCGATGTCATTTCTAGTGTCCCCGTCGCTAGCTGGCGCCCCGATGCACGCGGGCCTGCTACAGCAGCTGCTGATAGAGAAAGTTGCCTTTAACATTGTATTGTGTAGGGGCGGGGCGCTTGATCACCGTGTTGGCAGGATTGCTTGGGTGGACAATGCAGAAGAGGTTGCAAAAAGGCGCCACACAAGCTGCATTATTCGGGTTCCATCGCTGCGACAGCCACTAAGATCAGGCGAGGCGATGAGAGGACCGTCAAACGCCCGGCTACTGCCACACGAGTGCCAGCCAAGCACGGGGGCTGAGGATTCAGAGGATGAGCAGGCACATCGCAGCTTTTGGGAGGTTTCGTTGCGTGTGCTAGCCGTCCGTTATGCCTGGTGCAGATTCGGGCCTGCGATGCATCCTGCGCTTGTATTGAGCTGCTGCGGCAAAAACCAAGCTTGGTAAAGAGGCGTGCGGCCCCCGAACAGCCAGCTCAGTCATCACTAGCGGGCCGGGCGTTCTGTTTGTGATGGCGATGAGCAACATGCTTGGATGGTCCGTTGAAAGGTCGGCCCGATTACGCCGCTCGGCTGCGCTTGGCGGCAGGCTCGTCCGCCGCAGGCTTCACCTGCTTAGGGCGCAGCAGAGGCAGGGGCAGCATGTGCACGAGCAGAAACAAGCTGGCCCGTGGCAGCGCTGCAACACTGATGCGAAAGGTGCTCCCTTGCCGAAATCCATGTTCTGCACGCAATCAAGCTGGGCATACAGCGCTGGGTCGGGCCGTCCGCGGGGCGCCCCGCAAAATATGTTGCCGCACCTGCCGCGCCGCAGCCATCTTCGCCGCGCTTTTTCCAAATACCATGGCCTCCAGGGCCGCCAGCTCAGCCTCTGCCTCGGTCATGCCCTTGACCTCGCCGCCACTTCGCTGCTGCTCGCCGCCGCCACGCGCTGGCCGCGCCGCCGGCTGCGCCCCCGCGCCGCCCCGCGGCCCCTCAGCCGCGGCGCCCGGTTGCGGTGTCGGCGCCGTCGCCTCCACGTCGGCTGGCATGGCTGGTGGCTGCGCGGCCCGCTGCTCGACGGTGGCAGCGGCGAGGGGTGCCTTTTCGGGATGGTCCTGCAGAAAAGCCGCCTGGCCGTCAGCGGTGGCCGTGAACTCTGCGAGCCACACCTGCAGCGACAGGATTCCACGGGCAGCGACGGACGTCACAACAGTAGCAGAACAATGAGGGTTGTACGCAGTGCCAGTGATGAGAAGGAGTTGCAACAGTGCCAGGTGAGCGCGGGGGACGTGTTGTGCCAGTGCCCCATGCGATTACCAGAACGGACACTTTGGATCAAGCCGGGCAAACATGGGCCCCAGGCGCCGCGTGCAGTGGGTTCTGCGGGGTGTGAGTGCTACCGGCCATTGCTCTTCTACCACCCCTGCGTTGGCCACACACGTCCCCCTTCTCGCCGCACCAGGGATTGTCGGTTCTTCAGCTTCTGCTTGTCCCAGGAAAGGGATGCGTACTTAGAGACGCGCTGCTTGAGATCCTTGCGGCAGTGCTGGGGGGAGGGGCAGGGCGGGGCTGCTGGTAGGTGCACAGGACGGTGTTTGATGAGAGGCCAGGTGGGGCGGAGGAGGGAGGTGCTGCGCGGCGCAGGGGGAGCAGCAGGCAAGATGCAGACATCAGCTGTTCTTTGGTGGGAGGGCTGAGCGGCTCACCTGCACCAGGTGGTACTTCAACTTGAACGTCGCCTGGGGGCAGCAAGTGGTCAAAGACGTGAGAGCTGTCTCTGAAAAGTGCATGTGTGGTTGACACATGCGGGGCGCTGCAGCTGCGAGAGCATGCATTCATGGAACCTAGAAGATCACCACCTGAACGTGCGTGTGAAGCCGTGAGCCCATCCTAATTGCGAGCATGTGCATGACAAGCGAGGCCTGCACATGCCTCACCGGGCCCTGGCTGGTGTCTGCCTGCGCCAGCCACTCGCCAAAGTCCTGCGGCACGGCGGAACGTGGGCTTACTTGGGGGCATCCTGAGCGCCAACCAAGGCCGCAAGCGCGCACTGCATGCTCATGTGTCAAGCAGCTGAGAAAGAAACCATACAAAGGATGCATTATACTCCTCGCTCACTCGTGTGTGCAGGCTGCGTTGCATGCATCAGGCAGTGTGGCACGCATGGCAGGCGCGTGGCCATGCATGCAGCCGTAAAAAGCTGCCGCACCTGCATCGCTTGGTCGAGCTTGTTGAGCGCCCGCTTCGACACGGCGGCGGAGCCCCATGGGTGGTAGCCATCGCCAAACATGTCGCCGGCGCCGTACTTGCTGTAGAATAGTCTTTCCTCGTCGAAATCTCCAAACCTGCTTGCAAGAACTCGCACCTTCATTGGGGGCGACGGCATGCGCATGCGGCCATGGGGGTTGGCGACGTCGGTCGGAGAGCGCTGCAAAGCAGCAGGGGGAGCTGCAGCGCGGTTGTATGGCTGCATGCCGGGGTTTGCTGCCGGTGATGAGGCGATGGGCCTGAGAGCCTACTTTCGAAAGACCCGCCGGTACGTCCGGCGTTCCGCAACAGAGCAAGAATGCTGAATCTCGTCGGACCATCCACCTGATAGCGAAGGAAGCCTTGAGTGTACTGACAACAAAGTCTCTGAGACGACCAGGGAGATCTGCCGTGATCAAGGCGCGTTGTTCGTACTTAGCTCGCTCTGCCGCTTGATCAATGATCGAGGATAAATCTGAAGCGAATATTGTGGTGCGCAAACTGTTCACCTGCCTCGGGCTTTCTCTGGGGTGCCGCACAGCTGCCGCCAAATCGCAGCGTGCAAAGCGTGTTGCTGACTCATCTCACGCACCTGACACTCCAAAACAGGCGCATCCCAAGGAGTAAGGCCGAAACTGCTTCTTTGTTGCCAAAGGGCAGGTCTGCAACTATGTTTCGTACGGACCGTTGCGCGTTTGTCGCCGACCGCTTGAACCCCCTAGCAGCAATGCAACACGCTGGATCCCAGGACACGGCTTCGCCAGCGCGGCAGTTTGACAGACCATGCAATCCAGTTGGCAGATGCACCGGTTGCACTGCAAGCCCAATAGGCTATATAGTAATACTGGTGTAAACTCGGGCGGCACAAAAATGCATGAAAATTTCTTGAGCAGGTTTGGCAACAAGACACCAACAGACCAGCGTGGTGCTGTGACTCGCCTGCCTTCTCACAGGCTGGGTACAACCAAAACGGCCCAATGACGGCGGCGTCACATCGCGACCCAAGCCTGCGGCTTGTCGCTGCTGTAACCCAGCCGCCGCAGGGCCGCCGCGATGGCCGCCAGCTGCGGGCCGCTGATCTGGTCGGCGCGGTCCGCGACCGCCGCGGCGTAGGCGTCCAGCCAGCGCTGGCTGGGGCTGTAGCCCATCGCGGCGACGCCGGATATGATCCCCAAGAAGTCGTAAGCGTCGAAGCGGCTGCGTTGTGAGGAGCGGTGAGAGCGCGTGTGCGTGGTTGGTCGGAGGGCGTCAAGCGTTCCAGGGGCCCGTTTGCGACGAGGGCGGGGGCCGGTCCAGGGGGTGCGTGCACGACCGCCGGGGATGACTAGGGCGGCGGGTTAAGTGTCCGTGATGGGTGGTTTGAGGATGGCGCCGTGCTGCAGAGTGCGCCCTGCAGCTCGTCTGCAATCAGCCCAACGGCACGTGCATGCAGGCAACGGCAAGCGCATACCCCGCCCGCCACACCACAGACGCCCCCCTGGACGCTCACTTGATCATGTACTGTGCGCGCCCCAGCGCGGCGCCCATCCACTCCTTGTTGGGCTTGACCCTCATGAGGCCTAGCGCCAGCAGCATGTTGGCCATGGACTGGGGGCTGAACGACGGCAGCTGCTCGGCAGCTTGCGTCAGCAGCTCGGCGGTCCACGCCAGGCTGGGCGAAAGCTGAGTGTGCATGTAATGTTGAGGGGGAGGGGATGATGTCCTTGCTGAGATCATGTGCGTGGCAGGTCACACGAAAAGCAAACAGTGCAGGCTGCCATGATGCTCTTGGGTAAGCGTGAGGCTCTGCATGCAGCCGGCAACCGAAAAGGCCCGTGTCATGGTTCAGGCAAGATGGGTCTGCAAGAACACATTAACGACTCAATATGGTCGCACCTGCAGCCGCGCCACGCCCCACAGCAGCATCGACAACTCCTGGTGGCCCATCCCGGGCGCCGCCCGGCCGCACGCCTCCAAAAACGCCCCCGCCCACGCGGGCTGGGGCCGGTACTGGCAGCGGCCGAGCGCAAACGCCGCCTGCGCCAGCTCCCCCGCAGTGAGTGACGCCATATGGGCCTCAATGGAGGCGAGCGCCGCCTCGATGAACGGCGGGTGCATGAGCGGCCGCGGCAGCTCAGACAGGCACATAAG